GAGTTGGATAGCGATGGATGGAGCAGAATGTCCAGGAAGGGGAAGGAAAAGTAATATGGCTGATGGACAGTGATAGGGGGAATCCGAGGAGAGGCAAAAGAAAGGACTATAGAAATAATGAACATAGGTTTGGAGTGATAGCCAAAATGTACAGTGAATGGATACAGAGAAAATTTGGTTTGCGTTGAAACTGCAGAGATCAGTACAGGCATGTCATAAACAGGATCTTTTCCCCCTTGCTCTTGACTGCAGAAATTGTTACACTGGTATATTCTGTTCCATTAATATTTAGAATAAAATACAAATATCAATATAATGGCAATTAATCAACTGTCACCTCACAGGCACACACCTTCACTGGATCAGCAACTCACCAAGCACAAACTCAGAAACAAAGCTTAAGTTTTTCTGAAGAAGGGTCTAGGCCCGAAACGTCAGCCTTCCTGCTCCTCTGATGCTGCTTGGCCTGCTGTGTTCATCCAGCTCTACACCTTGTTATCTCAGATTCTCCAGCATCTGCAGTTCCTACTATCTCTTAAGTTTGTCCTTTATGTTTGGTATCTCCTTGTCAGTGATTTGGTTGAGGGATTTAAATGTAATATTTCCAGGTTTGCTGATGACACAGAATCAGATGAGTTTGAGAGTGGTGATAAGGATGTAAAGAGGCTGCAAGGCAATTTAGACAAGCTGCGTGAGCTGGCAAAAGCATGACAGGTGCAGCATAATTCAGATAAGTATGAAATTGTCCAGTTGGTCTGAAACACAGAATAGCAAAGTATTTAAATCGTGATAGATTGAGAAATGTTGATGTACAAAGGTGTCCCGATACACTGGTCACTTGAAATCAAGCGTGCAGGTGCAGCAAGTATTTTTCTAAAGCAAATGGAATGTTGCCCTTTGTTGTGAGATGGTTTGAGTACAGGAGCAAGGAAGTCTTAATGCAGCTTCGTGAGCTTTCAGAACTCCAGTTCTGAGGAAGGGTCACCGGACCCGAAACGGTAACTCTGTTTTCTCCTTCACAGATGCTGCCAGACCTGCTGAGCTTTTCCAGCAACTTTGTTTTTGTTCCTGATTTACAGCATCCGCAGTTCTTTTGGTTTTCATTGTTTTGGAGGTTGTTCAGAGGAAGTTCACTAGATTAATTCCAGAGATGAGGGATTTGTCATATGAAGAGAAATTGAGTAGTTTAGGCCAATACTCTTCTGGAGTTTAGAAGAATGAGACACGATCTAATTGAGGCAAATAAGTGCTAAAGAATTGACAATGTAGATGTAGAAAGGATGTTTCCTCATGTGGGGCAATCTAGAATGAAAGGTCACAGTTTTAGGATAAAGGGTTGCAGATTTAAAAGAGATGAGAAATTACTTCTCTCAAAAGGTTGTGAAGCAATGGAATTCACAACCTCAGACTGCAATGAATGCTGGGACATTGGTAAATTTGAGAAGAAAATAGACAGATTTTTAATTAATAATGCATTGAAGACTTATGGCGAGTGGGCAAGAAAGTAGAGTTGAGGCCAAGGTGAAATCAGCCATGATCATTTCAAATAGTGGATAAGGCTCGAAGTGCTGAATTGCTTACTCATGCTCCTAGATCTTACGTTTTAAAGAGAATGCAGCAAATGTGTACCAGACTGATGCCTGAGCTGGCATGAAGATTTGTCGGACGGCTTGGTGGCTCAGTGATTAGCACTGCTGCCTCACAGCGCCAGGGGACCCGGGTTCAATTCCACCCTAGGGCGACTGTCTGTGTGGAGTTTGCACATTCTCCCCGTGTCTGCGTGGGTTTCCTCCGGGTGCTCTGGTTTCCTCCCACAGTCCAAAGATGTGCAGGCTAGGAGGATTGGCCATGCTAAATTGCCTGTATGTTCAGGGAAGTGTAGATTAGGTGGGTTACAGGGGGATGGATCTGGGTGGGATGCTCTGAGGGTTAGTGTGGACTTGTTGGGCCACTAGGCCTGTTTCCACCCTGTAGGGATTCAGTGAAGTTGTCATGAAGAGAGATTGGGTCGAGTGGACCTGTATTCACTGAAGTTTAGAAAAATGAGACAGGATCTTATTGCAATGCATAAAAATCTAACAGGGTTGGACAGACTGGATGATATTTCCCCTGGCCAAAGATGGGGATCCAGAACAAGAGGTGACAGTGTTAGGATAGCTGGTAAACCATTTCGGATTGAGATTAGAAGTGTTTTCACACTGAGTGGTGAATTTATGGAATTCTGTGCCGCAGAAGGCTTTGGGGGCCAAGTCATTGAATTTATTTAAGAAAGATATAGATAGACGAGACAGATGAACAGATAGATTGATTAATTGCTAGCAGCTAAAGGTGTCAAAAGATATGGGGAGAGTGTGAGAGTATGGCTTTGAGAGAGAGGATCATCCATGATTATCTTGAATGGGCTGAGTATCCTATTCCTGCTACTGTTTTCTGTGCTCTTTATTTTCAGAGGGTATATTCTCAGAGTAAGGGGTTGTCTATTTAAGACAGAGATGAGGAGGAATTTCTTCCTTAGGGTAGTAAATCTGTGGAATTCTTTACCACTGAGGACTGTTAAGGCTCAGTCATTAAGCATATTGAAATAGCCGACTTGATGGATGACCTAAATTTTGTACACCTTATGGTCTATCTGGCACTAATCACCAATGGTTTATTGCATAAAAGTATTTGTCCACTCTTTGTGACAGCCCTGTAAGTATACATGAGGCACACTAAAATTATTTTTATCATTGCTTTCCATCGGATGTTATTTTGGATTGCCAAAATAATTTTTTTATATTCAAAATCTTCATTTAACAATAAATCATATTTGCTGAAACCCTATTTTTAACATTACGGATTGGAGTTTCCTTGTTCATACATTCAGGCCATCCAGTTCACAGTGACCCTCCAACGAGCATCCCACCCATACCCACACCCCTACCCTATCCCTGTAAACCCGCACTTCCCATGACTAATCCACCTAGACTGCACATCCCTGGACAGTATGAGCAATTTAGCATGGCAAATGCGCCTAATCTACACATCTTTGGACCGGGAGAAAACCAGAGTACCCAGAGGAAACCCGTGCCAACACAGAGAGAATGTGCAAACTCCACACAGTCAGTTGCTCGAGGGTGGAATCGAACTTGGGCCCCTGGCGCTGTGAGGCAGCAGTGCAAACCACTGAGCCTGTGAATCAGAAGAGAAATTCTTCAACCCTTTATAGAAATGTCTACTTGATTACAGTCTTAGTTTTGTAAAGTACTTACCAAAAACATCATAAGATGCAGGAGCAGAAGTAACTCTGTCAACCTTTCAAATCTGTTCCACTATTCAGTGAGATCAATGCTGATTTGATAATTCTCAACTCCACTTTCCTGCCTTATCCCCATATTTAATGAAGCAGCCTTCACAGACCTTTGCAGTAAAGAATGCTACATTCACTACCTAATAAGAGAACAAATTCCTCATCATTGCCGCCTTCATTTGGCAGCCCCTTAAACTGAGATTATGTCCTCTGTTCCTAGGCTCTCTCACAAGGTGAAACAGCCTCTGCATCTACCATTGCAAGACTCCTAAGAATCTTGTTCATTTTACTAAGGTCTCCTCTCATTCTTCTTAACTCCAATGAGTACAGGCCCAAACAGCTCATCTGTCCCTCGCAAGAAAATCTTCCATATCCGGAATCAACCTGGTTGATCTCCTTTGGACTGCCATCAGTTCCAGTATATCTTTCCTTAGACAAGGGGACTAAGATTGCTAAAAGTAAGCATGCAGGTGCAGCAGGCAGTGAAGAAGGCAAATAGTATGTTGGTCTTCATAATACGGGAATTTGCATACAGGAGCAGATATATTGCTGCAATTATACAGTGCCTTGGTGAGTGCATGTTTTGCAGTTATGACTATGAAGGAAGTGTAACAAAGGTTCATCAGTCTGATTTCTGCGATGACTGGACTGATGTATGGAAGACACACTGAATTGAATAGGACTGTATTCACTGGAATTTAGAACAGTGAGGGTGTTTCAGGAGGGTTGTTCCGGGTGACTGGGGAACCCAGAACCAGGGGTCACTGCCTATGTATATGGGATAGGCCATTTAGGACTGAGATGGGATGATTTTTTTTTAACCAGAGAGTGGTGACCCTGTGGAATTCTCTGCCTTAGAACATCATTAAGGCCAAAACATTGAAAGTTTTCACGAAGAAGTTAGATATAGTTCTTGGGGCCGAAGGGATCAAAGGGTACGGGGAGAAAGCGGGAGTAGGAGATTGAGTTGGATGATCAGCCATGATCATTTTGAATGGTGGAGCAGGCTTGAGTGGCCCAATAGCGTACTCCTGCTCCTATTTTCTAGGTTTTTAAGACTGTTCATAGTATTCCAGGTGTAGTCTAATGAGTTCTTCATGCAGCTTTAACAGAACATCCCAGTTTTTATCCTCCATTTTCTTTGAAATAAAGGCCAACAGTACGTTTGCTTCCCCATTACCACTGAACTTGGATGATAGCTTTTTTTTTTATTCATTCACAGGATGTGGGCAGTGCTGGCTAGGCCAGGATTTATTGCCCATCCCCAATTGCCCAGAGGGCAGTGAAGAATCAATCACATTGCTGTGGGTCTGGAGTCACATGTAGGCCAGATCAGGTAAGGATAGTAGTTTCCTTCCCTGAAGGACACTAATGAAACTGGGTTTTTCTGACGTTCAACAACAGTTTCACAGTCATCATTTGACTCTCAATTCCAGATTCTTTTGTTGAATTTAAATTCCACCATCTGCAATGGTGGGTCTCAAATCTGAGTCTCCAGAGCATTACCTGGGTCTCTGGATTACTAGTTTAGTGAAATATCAGGCTTGTTGTCCACCATTAATAGTTCTAGTTGAGAAGTACTTTAACGCATTTCTTACATTAAATACACAAAATATTTTTGGATTATAAGCTTCATTTAATTAAGTAGGATTACTGCAGTTTGTGCTTTGACTTAACCTGTGTACTGATATTTGCACTTCTTGTCCCGTAGCATGAATGTATCTCCATCCACATTGGCCAGGCTGGTGTCCAGATGGGCAATGCCTGCTGGGAGCTGTACTGCTTAGAACACGGTATCCGGCCTGATGGTATTATGCACAGGGGCTGGGCTTACGGAGCTGCAGATAACTCCTACGTTACTTTCTTCAGTGAGACAGGTGCTGGAAAACTTGTCCCAAGAGCTATGTTTATTGACTTAGAGCCAACTGTGATTGGTAAGTCTAATGAAAACTGGTTCTTGATCACCATTTTAATTTTAAGCCTTCATTTCTTTTTCTAAACATTGATTGGCATAACGATTTGGAACACTAATACAAAATACTGGGGTCGCAGATGGTCCACAGATGCTGATCAAGCGATAACCACTACCATAAAAAATCTGCTCAGGATTGAGTACATAAAGCGCGCATACAAAACACAATAAAGTGATTGAAACATACTGATACTGGAGAAAACTATTAATTTGAACAGCGATAGTAGGAACTGCAGATGCTGGAGAATCTGAGATAACAAGGTGTAGAGCTGGATGAACACAGCAGGCCAAGCAACTTCCTGCTCCTGTGATGCTGCTTGGCCTGCTGTGTTCATCCAGCTCTACACCTTGTTATCTCTATTAATTTGAACAGACTGGACTTGAATTCTCTCAGGCCTAAGCCTTCATCCTATCCAATAATACTTAAAATTTCTGACCCGGGTGTTTAAAACTGGGTGATTATCAGGTCAACTGAGAAGATGAAAGTCCCGTGCTTAATGACAGTGATGGAAGTACTTGCAACTTTAGAGCTTCCGTTTCCTTCCGCTTTTACTGTCCTTTCAGTTCAGCTGTTTGATGGACATGTACAGAAAAGCCGAACAAAGATAAACTGACTTCTGAAAACTTCTTACTTTTCTCTCTAGATGAGGTCCGTACTGGTACCTATCGACAACTATTCCACCCTGAGCAGCTCATTACTGGCAAGGAAGATGCTGCCAACAACTATGCCCGTGGGCACTACACCATTGGCAGAGAGATCGTTGATCTGGCGCTGGACAGAATACGCAAACTGGTAAGAGATGTTTAATGCAATGCCAGAGGTCCAAGTTCAACGTCACTAAATGCATTAAAGATATGGACTCAGAGTATTCCTCCTCTGTCCCCAACCACCACCACCCTCCCCCCACCCCCAGGTGAATTCTCAGTCATACCTGGGAAAGGGAGAAGAATGAACAGAGGTGAAGAACTTCTTTAGGAAAGAGTGAAGGAAGGTCATGAAGCAATCCATGGTATTGTCATTGACTACTTATTTACCTTGCAGCAATGTCATTAGTTTCTCAGTCAGCAGTAACTTGAAAGGAAGCAAGAGAATGGAGACGTTTGTAAAACATTTTCAGTGCAAAAGTAAGATGCTGTTGCATTGTGGTAAAATTTCAACTGAGTAAATTGCTGTATTTTTTGACTAAAGGACTTACTGTTATCAGTTACAACGCTGGAGATCGCTCTTCACTTTTGGCCACAGGGAATTGATAATTGAAAGAAATAAAACTCCTGATGGCTGTTATGAGAACAAACAGTCTAACATTTCCAGAGCACTTTCATGACCTGAGGACATTTCAAAACCATTAACAGGTGATAACATAGCATCAGACAAAATGGGAGCAGAAGTAGGCCATTCAGTCCATTGACCCTGCTCCACCATTCAGTAAGATCATAGCTCATTCTGGCTGTAGCCTTAAAACCACTTTGCTACCTACACCCTCCCCATAACTCCTGACTCCCTTGCAGATCAAAAATCTATTTAACTCAGCTTTAAATATATTCAGTGACCCAGCAAAATTCCTCATTTCTATCTTAAATAGGAAACCTATTATTTTTAAAGATTAGACTTCAGTTTTATCCTTCGTTATCTAGAATAGAATAAAATAACTTTTTAGAAAGAATGATGTGGACATTGTTTCATTGCTATTTCGTGTAGCTTGCTATACTGAAATGTTTCCCACACTGCAACAGTAACTAATGTTCAAAATTGCTTAATTGTCTGGAAGGTGCTTTAGAACGTGCCGAGATCAGAAAAGATACTACATCAATCTAAGGATTTTCTTCTTTCCCAAAATGAGGGGGAAAGTTGTCTATTGACCTCTTCCCCAACTTCCTTCTTTAAGAACATTTACCACCAGAAGAAATTAATAAGAACTTTGCCTTTTCAGTTAAAATTGTTGCCATTTTGATTCTTAACATAGTTAATCTAGCATTTATCCATTTTCTTGTAGGCTGATGATTGCACTGGACTCCAGGGTTTCCTCTTGTTCCATAGCTTTGGTGGAGGCACCGGTTCTGGTTTCACTTCCCTTTTGATGCAGTGTCTTACTGTCGACTACGGCAAGAAAACCAAATTTGAATTTACCATCTATCCAGCTCCTCAGATCTCAACAGCTGTAGTTGAACCCTACAATGCCATCCTCACAACCCACACCACTCTTGAACATTCTGACTGTTGCTTCATTGCAGACAATGAAGCCCTTTATGACATCTGCCGCAGAAATTTGGACATTGAACGTCCGACCTACACCAACCTGAACCGGCTGCTCGCTCAGGTTGTGTCCTGTATTACGTGCTCCCTTCGCTTTGAAGGTGCTTTGAATGTTGATCTTATAGAGTTCCAGACAAACTTGGTTCCATATCCACGCATCCACTTTCCTCTGATTGCCTACGCCCCTGTCATCTCTGCTGAGAAGGCTTACCACGAGCAACTCTCGGTGGCTCAGCTCACCAATGCTTGTTTTGAGCCAGCCAACCAGATGGTCAAATGTGACCCTCGCAATGGCAAGTACATGGCTGTAAGTATGCTCTATCGAGGGGACGTGGTGCCAAAAGATGTCAATTCTGCTATTGCCTCCATCAAGACCAAACGTTCCATTAGATTTGTGGACTGGTGTCCAACTGGTTTCAAGGTTGGCATCAATTACCAGCCTCCAACTGTTGTACCTGGTGGGGACCTGGCCAAGGTGCTACGTGCCGTGTGTATGTTGAGTAACAGCACAGCCATTGCTGAAGCCTGGGCTCGCCTCAATCACAAGTTTGATCTGATGTACGCCAAGCGTGCCTTTGTACATTGGTACGTGGGTGAGGGGATGGAAGAAGGGGAGTTCTCAGAAGCTCGTGATGATTTGGCAGCCCTGGAGAAAGACTATGAAGAAGTTGGTATTGACAGTGCTGAACTTGACCGTGAGGAATATTAGAAGACTTAAAACTTTGTTCCAAAGATGAAGCTAGCAAGGGTTAATAAAGGATTAGCTTTTCTGGTCTCTGCAGTTTTCTATCATGTCTGTAACCACAGAAGCATTTCTTGCATTATTGACTTAAAAATAGAGACTATAGTGGACTTGATTAAGTGGTGGTGTCTAGGACTACACTCGTGTTAGTTAAAATAGTGAGTGTAGCTGGGCCATAGTAGTTCACTTTGTCCTGCAGCAGTAGATGTACTGAACAATACAAGATCCTGAGTGGTATCGAGAAGGCAAATGTGGAAAGAATGCTTCCTCTTGTGGGTGACTTCAGAACTGGAGGTACAGTTTAAAAATTAGGGGTCACCTAGGAAAGAGATGAGACTTTTTTTTTGCTCAGAGCGTTGTGTGACTTAAGAACTCTCTTCCTCAGAAGGTAGTGAAGGTGGGGTTATTGAATATTTTCAAGGTGGAAATCGATACATTCCTGATGGGCAAGGGAATCAGACATTTTTTGGGAGTAGGAGGGACTTTAGAATTCAAAGCACAAAACACAGCATGATCTTGTTAAATGTCAGAGCAGGATTAATGATCTGCTTTCAGCTCCTAATTTTTATGTTTGTATGCATAACTGGCCTCAGCGCAACCAGATTGGCAAAATTGATCAGGGTGCTAGTGTCCTTGACAGTCTCCATGCTGGCTATGCATTGGTCATCCTTTGAAATTATTGTGCAACACACCAGCCAAAAATTAAAACATCAGCATGTTTAAACAAATAGTCTGTGGACTTCAAAAGACTTATTAAAGGCAATGTTGCGGGGTGTCTGTTTCTGATCCTCCCCCAGAAATGTCCAGATCAGGCCAGAACAGGGTAGGGCTCTGCTCTGATACACCTTTTATTTGATTCCTCTGTTGTCAAACGCCACAGACTCCTATGTGAATGAACATCTCATCCTTTGGAATGACACTGCAGCCAGCAATCAGTGCTTGTAGGTGGAGGATGTGAATGTGTGGAAGGGAAGAAAGTTAGCAGGAGAAAAAAAAGAAAAAAGATCTTGCTGTTTGTAATGTTTTTACTGCAGTAATAGCACTGGGAACTAAATTAATTTCCCAGACATTAGCCATTAATTGTGCATGTGAATAAACAGTATAACTGGACACTCAAGTCAGAACAATAATCAGTTATTTCCTGATCCAATGGGGACACAAATCTTCTATGATACCTTGTACAATCATTGAATATCTTTTTATTGTTGTAATAAAATCATGTTTGTATGAAACTATTAATTTTATTAGTAATGTCTCAATTGTTAATGAACAGTACATGTACATCCATCGATTAAAGGAATATGCAAGAAAACATTCTGAGTTTTGGGTCTTAATGATAAAAGCCTTTGGACAAAGCCAAATTATTTATTAAACATTATCCTGGTTTTCTTTATGCACAGTTACTCCCTGATCTGCTGTTAGTTTTCAGCATTTTCTCTTTTGTTTTCAGTTGACTCAATAAAAACTTGTATCTACATAGCATATGAAATCTATGTGAGCCATAGGAGATATCAAGGTAGATGTCCTGAAGCTTGATCCAAGAGCTATGATGTAGTGCAGCTGTTATACGTGGAGCTGGTGGATGCCATTGCCATCTGCAGTGACCACATCTGCAGCAAGTGTTGGCTGCTTGAGGAACTTTGCCTCAGAATAGATGAGCTGGAATCTGGGACGCGTCAGACAATGGGAGACATACTTGGACAGTGTTTCAGGAGGTAGTCACACCCCTTAGTTTAATCACATCAAATTTGGTCCATTGCCAGGCACATAACGGTGTGACTGAGAGTGAAGCAGGTATGGGCATCCAGATTTTGGCTATTGAAGGAATCTCAGCCAGTGCCTTTGTCCAATAGGTACAAGGTTCTTATTCCCATTGTTGGGGGGTGGGGAGTGGGGGAGAGAGATTTCAGTGAGAATGACCAAACTGACTACAGCACCATGGTCCAGAGGGCCATGCAAGTTGTGGAGAAAAAGACAGATGCAATAACAAGCAATAGTTAGGGGAATAGATACGGTTTTATGCAGCAAAGATTGAGTTCTGAAGCAAATACAAATTGCTAGAGAAACTCAGCAAGTCTGATAGCATCTGTGGAGAGAAAACAGAGGTAACGTTTTGGGTCCAGTGACACTTCAGAATTGAGTTCTGAAGGCTGTGTTACTTATCTGATGCTAGATTAAGGACATCTCTTCTGGACTGGAGAGGCACTTGGAATGGGAGGGCAAGGATCCAAATGGTGTGGTTCCCCCATAGGAAGCAATGGCATAGGTAAGAGTCAAAAAGAGGTTTTGCTGAGGGATTGCAAGCATCTTGGCTCTAAACTAAAGGCAGAACCACAAAGATTATTATCTCTGGGTTATTACCTGAGATGTGCAAATTGGTATAGGCTGAATAAGATCAGTAAAATAAACGTGTGGCTCAAAAATTGTTGCAAGAAAATATAGGTTTGATTAATGGGCACTGGTATTGGGAAAAGAGACATGTTCATTTGGAATGGGCTTCATTTGAATCAAGCTGGAACCTGTGTCCTAGTGAATTTAATAACTAGAGTTGTAGGTAGGACTTCATACTAATTAGCAGGGAGATGGTTTAATTGATGAAAATAGAGCAATAGACTTGTACAGCATGGAAACAGGACCTTCAGTCCAACTTATCCATGCAGACCATGTATCCTAAATAAGTCCAGACCCATTTGCCAGCATTTGTCCATGTCTCTCAACACCTTCCCTATTCTTATACCCATCCAGATGCCTTTTAAATGTTGTAATTGTACCAGCCTCCAACACTTTCACTAGCAGCCCATTCCATACATGCATGAACCTCTGCATGAAAAAGTTGCCCTTTAGGTCTTCTTTATAGCTTTCGCCTCTCACCTTAAACCTATGCCCTCTAGTTTTTAACTCCACTACCCTGGGGTAAATTACCTTGGCTATTCACGCTATTCAAGCCCCTCATGATTTTATAAACCTCTATAAGGTCACCCCTTAACCTCTGAAGCTCCATGGAAAATAGCCCCAGTCTATTCAGATTCTCCCTATAGCTCAAACCCTCCAACCTCAGCAACATCCTTGTAAATCTTTTCTGCACCCTTCAGGTTCAACAACATCTTTCCTGTAGCAGGGAGACCAGAATTGCATGCAATATTGCAAAAGTGGTCTAACCAATAACCTGTACAGCCACAACATGATCTTCTAACTCCTATTCTCAATAAAGGCAAGTGTACCAAATGCCTCCTTCACTAACCTATCTACCTGCAACGCCACTTTCAAGGAACAATGAACCTGCACTCCAAGGTTTCTGTTCAGTCACTCTCCCCAGGACCTTCCTATTAAGTGTATACATCCAGCCCTGATTTGCCTTGCCGAAATGCAACACCTCACATTTATCTAAATTGAACTCCATCTGCCACTCCTTGGTCCATCTGATCAAGTTCCCATTGTACTCTGAGATAACCTTCATTGTCCACTACACCTCCAATTTTGGTGTTGTCCACAAACTTACTAACCATTCCTCCTATTTGCACATCCAAATCATTTATATAAATGACAAAATGCAGTAGACCCAGCACCGATCCTTGCAGCACATCACTGGTCATAGGCCTCCAGTCCGAACAACAGCCTTCTACCACAACCTTCTGTCTCCTGCATTCAAGCCAATTTTGTATCCAAATGGCTAGCTCTCCCTGGATTCCATGTGATCTAACCTTGCTAACCAGTTTACCATGAGGAGCCTTGTCAAAAGCCTTGCTGAAATCCATATAGACAACGTCCACTGCTCTTCTTTTGTCAATCTCCTCTGTCACTTAAAAAAAATTCAGTCAGTGAAACATGATTTCTCACCCACAAAGCTATGTTGACTATCTCTAATCAGTCCTTGTCTTTCGAAATACATGTAAATCCTATCCCTCAGAATCTCCTCCAACAACTTATCCACCATTTCTGGATTCTAGCATTTCTGAAGAAGGGTCTAGACCCAAAACATCAGCTTTCCTGTTCCTCTGATGCTGCTTGGCCTGCAGTGTTCGTCCAGTCTACACCTTGTTATCCACCACTGACTTCAGGCTCACCAGTTTACAGTTCCCTGCTTTTCCTTACCTTCTTAAATAGTGGCAGAATATTAGCCAACCTCCAGTCTTCTGGCACCTCACCTGTAGCTATCAATGATGCAAATATCTCAGCAAGGGGCTTAGCAATCGCTTCCCTAGCTTCCCACAGAGTTCTGGGATACACTTGATCAGATCCTGAGGATTTATTCACCTTTATGTGTTTCAAGATGTCCAAGTTGCAAAAATGAAAAAGAAACGAGCAAAGGTGCAAGGTCATAAATTGGTGAACGATAATCAGATATAGCAGGGAATAGCCAGAAACTGGAAGCAGTGTCAGTAATAATGGTAAAAAAAACTTGAAACTTAGGGCCCTTTACTTGAACGGACACAGCATTTATAGCAAGATCAATAAATTGATAGCACAAATAGAATTAAATAAATATGACTTCATAGCTATTATAGAAATGTGCTTGCAGGGTGACAAAAACTGACAACTTAATGTTCAAGAATATTTCACACTTTGGAAAAGTAAGCAAGAAGAAAAAGGAAGGGTAGCTTGATAAATGAAGGTATCTGTGAAGTGCTGAGCACTGATATAGGTACAATAGATTGTCAATGTGGAATCAGTTTGGGTATAAGGAATAGCAAAAGGAAAGAGGTCATAGGTGAGAATTGTCTGTAGGCATCCAATGAGCTACCTCACTGTAGGACAAAGTATAAATCAGGAAATAATGGGGTTGTGTAAAAAGGGCACTACAATTCTAAAGGGTGATTTCAGCTGCATGTGAATTGGACAAATCGGATGGACATTGGTAAACTAAATCAGTAACAAATATATAGGTTAATAAAAGCTGTGCACAATGTTGTGCCGCCACTGCTGTTGGCTGATCATTTCCCCTTTCATTTCAGCTAATTCTAATTAACTACTGAAAACATATTTCTTTCAAAAAAAAGCATTCCTGTGACAAAGCTTGTCCCAAAATACCCCTCCCAAAATCTGTCCTGTTATGAACTGTAACAATGTGGTTTCAGTGCAGATGATCCTGGTTTTGTCAGGTCAGTTTTGCTTTAATCAAACAGGTTATCTGGGGTTAGTATTTCCAAGGGATTTGGGGGCACATATTCACTCACAAACATACATACATACAAATGTTGTGGCTCCAAATCTGTGGAGGTATATACAGTTTGTAGACACATTCTTATTATTAGTCTGATGGCTTTGTGACCTCTTGACTAATATCTTGAGAAAAGTTACTCAGTATGTGTGCACAGGGCAAATCAGGGCAAGACTTATACACCTAATGGTAAGGTCCTGGGGAGTGTTGCCAAACAAAGAGACCTTGGAGTGCTGGTTCATAGTTCCTTGAAAGTGGAGTCCCAGGTAGACACAGTAATGAAGAAGGTGTTTGGTACACTTGCCTTTATTGGTCAGTGCATTGGGTATAGGAATTAGGAGGTCATGTTGCTGCTGTACAGGATATTGGTTAGGCCACTTCTTGGAACAGTGCATTCAGTTCTGGTCGCCCTGCTATAGGAAGGATGTCATTGAACTTGAAAGGGTGCAGAAAAAATTTACAAGTATGTTACCAGGGCTGGAGGGTTTGAGCTAAAGGAAGAGGCTGAATAGGCTGGGGCTATTTTCCCTGGAGCGCCGGAGGCTGAGAGGTGACCTTATAGAGGTTTATAAGGTCATGGGGAGCATGGATAGGATGAATAGTCCCCAGGGTAGTAGAATCAAAAGCTAGAGGGCACAGGTTTAAGGTGAGAGGGGAAAGATTTAGAAGGGATCTAAGGGGCAGCTTTTTCACACAGAGGGTGATGCACGTATAGAATGAGCTGCCAGAGGGAGTGGTAGAGACTGGTACAAATACAACATTTAAAAGGCATCTGGATGAGGACATGAATGGGAAAGGTTTAGACAGACATGGACCAAATGCTGGCAAATGGGATTAAATGAGTTTGGGATATCTGGTTGGCATGGACAAGTTGGACCAAAGGTTCTGTTTCCATGCTATACAGCTCTATGACACTATGTCAGGCATTATCCTTGAACTGCTGGGAGGCAAGCTTTGGTCATTTTCTGAAAGTTGTCCATCACAAACAGTGCTTTTAAGTTGAAATAACACAGTGTGGAGC